TTCGTTTTTCATGGGGGTGGGGAACACCGCAACCGGGGGGGGGGGGGGGGGGGGGGGGGGGAGCGTTGTAGCACTGCTGCTGTGCCCCTTGGGTACCACCACCACCGTGGAAGGTAGAGGGCGCTGTTGTTTTGTTCCTTGTCTGCTGGTCTTGTCTTGTCTTGTTTTGGAAGCCTTCTCGTTCACGGTAGGGCATGGCTCGGGTGGGACTCTGTTTTCTCCGTGTCTGCTGAGCGTGCGTCGGAGGGCCGTTGGCCCACACGGGTGGCCGACGGGGTATGCTACCTTGAAGCGGGCTGTGTCGCCCCTCCATAAAAAAACTTTCCCTCTTGGGCGCACAAACGGTCGTCAGTCTCCTCGAGAGGGAGGGAGCCGTGGCCGCATGACTCCGGGAGCATGTCTTGCTGTTCAATAGCGCTTTCATTGTTTACACGTGTTTTCCGATTCGTCGATCCTGCGACGAAGCCTGGTATCTCGGGTGTGTTGCTCTCTTCGTACGTAGGCGTTGTTTCAACCTCGTTCGTGTGGACTGGTGACGTCACGCTTTTGTCTAGAAGGCTCTTCAACAAGCAACTAATTAGACCCCCCCGCCCGCCGCCCCTCCGTTCGTGCGACGTGTGTGTTGCGTTGACGCCACTAAAAAACAAACAAGATCTCGGATCTCGGGCCGCTGCTGCGGACGCCGGTGGCCGGCAACACCACGCGGCTCCGGTACACGGCGCCGGAGGTGCTGGCCGGCGAGGACACGAGCCTAAAGAGCGACGCCTACAGCTTCGGCATGCTGGTGCTGGAGTGCCTCACGAGGCGGCTTCCCTGGCAGCAGGAGGACGACGAGGACGCCGCTACCACCGCCGCCGCCATCGATGACGGGACGACTACGTCATCGGCGGTGGAAGATGCTCGGCTTTCGCGGACCGTCATGAGCGGAGACCGGCCGGGCGTGCCGGGGGACGCGCCCCGCGACCTGGCGCGCGTCGCGAAGGACTGCTGGGCCCACGACCCGGCCTCCAGGCCGGACATGGTCCGCGTGCTGGAGGACCTCTACCCGACGGGGCTGACAGCAACAAGCGCGGCGGCGGGGGTAGCGGCTGGAGAGTCGGGTGAAGCTGTGCCTACTAATAGTATGACGACAAGGGTGGACGACGACGACGACCATCACCATCATCGGCACGGCGAGGCACGTGTACTGCATGGTGATGAGGATGACAGCAGTGGCCTCAGGCCGGGGCCCAGGGGCGCCGGGGCGGTCAGGAGGACGCGGGGGATCGGCGACGGGACGACCCCTCGGAGTTTCGAGCTCTCCTCCCCTAGGAAGATGTTCCCGTTCCCGTCGTCGGGCGCGGGCTCGCCCCTCGCGACCATGACGACCCCGGGAACTCCCTGCAGCAGCAGCGGCAGGAGCAGGAGGCGTGCCACCTCTTTGGAGACCTTCTCCACTCTGGGCGTGTCTTCGACGACGTCTTCGGCAAGATCCAGCGTGTCGCGCCACGTCCGCGGGGCTTCGGCCGGCGGCGGCGGCGGCGGCAGGGGGGGACGGGTCCTTGGTGTTGGTGGTGGTATTGCTGGCGGAGGCGTGTTGTTTGCGGAGCGTTCCCACACGATGCCGGTCAGGACGCAAAGGTCGCGCAGCAGGAAGGGCGACGGGGCGGATGCCCCCAGCAGAGCCGAGTCGTTGCCCTGCGTGCAGTATTTAGCAGCTCAAGAAATCTCACACCAATGAACTGCTACTACTACTGCGTACTCCGCCATGTATCGAACCGTCCGTTGGCTATTTATAGAGATGGATGGATGGGTGGATAGAGAGAGTACCAACAGTGAACAAGCATTAGGTCTATGATGTACTAGTTAGAGCTAGGTTTTGTTCTCGGAAGGTACGACTCGGGCGAGAAGGCTTTTTTTTTCGCTTTTTGCGCTTCACCGCGAAGAGGTTTTGCAAAGATGAATAATCAGCCGTGCGTGGTGGTATCGTTGTAATACTGTGTGTATGTCGTATGTGACTCAGCTCCCGATGGGAGAGGGGGGCTGACCAGGTGTGCATGTATTTGTGTGGGTGTTTGGGGATCAGTTTCTTGGGGAAAGGAAGCTTTCATGTTGTGTAAAGTAAAAGGGAAGGGAAGGGGAGATAAGGGGGGGGGGGGGGGGGCACCGTCATTCGCACCGAAATTGATTGTAGGGTATGTATAGTATGTAGAGTAGGTCTGCCTCACTATGGCGTGTCTTGTTTTTAACTGGGGGTGTATGTGTGGTGCGTGGTTTGCTCACTAATTGTCACGAGTTTGCGGAAATAGTAGTAAACAGAGCGATCGACCAGCCGGGCGATACGATCTTTCTTAAATAACGTGATAAGTTATTGTCGTTTCTATGTATGTATGTATCACTTCAAACCAGTGTTGTTAGAATTCATCGATCGGCGGTTCAGCCGTTTTTTTGGATCAGCCTACCAATGGCCGTCGCTTCTGTTTTCGGAAAGTATTCCCCTTTGTCAAGTCTGTCTACAGGAAAGAGTAGTACCGTGGCCACGGCTGCTTTCCCAATTGATTTGAACTAGAGGCGAGAGCCGACCAAGACTTCGTGCCGCGGTGTCGGGATGTCGGGATGGGCACGCGCGGCTACTGCCAAGAGGCAACGGCTTGGAGTTTTTTCTGCATGTTATTTCTTCTGTCACATCACGTCACAAAAAATCACAGGGATGTTCACGGTGTGGAACCGCACCGCGGTGTTTTTTTTTTTTGTTTGAGACGGCTCACGTGGGGTGCGTTGTAAAAGGCATCTGCACGCGTGGCCACGGTCCTGCCGACGACGCCAAGATTTTTTTCAAGTGTAGAGGTATGCACGCGTGGTGCAATCTGGTAGACCCGTGAAGACCTCACTTGTTATTACTCTTGCGGAACAGCAGCAGCAGTAGCTGTTGCCTTGGGTATCGGTAGGAATGACACCGAGGGGCCCAGGATCCTCTGCTCAAGCAGGGGCTACTAAGATCCCGTCACCTGTTTTGTCCTTCCGCGGGGAGTTACATCTCTCCACACACCTTCTAGAAGGAACCGTTCTTTTCTATGTTCCGTCTACATATACGTCTGAATCCTATAGCAGCGGTGCGTTGCGGTGCGGTGTTTTTCATCTCAAAATGTGACGGTTCACCGCACCGTCGAAAAAACCGCACCGTGAACATCCCCGCAAAATTATTTAGTGCTTTTTAGCTACTGGCGACGCAGACCCCACCCAATTTGCAATTAATTGGGGGATTGCGGAACCCCTCAGAGCTGGCTAACAGTCTTCGTTGTACCCTTTTTTGACCGCAGCCAATTCTTCTTCCCCTCGCTCACGCCATCTGTGGATAATGTATCTAGGCTACTGTATAGCCTGTCGTCGCGGTGCCGCCGCATGCACACCCACCCCTTGACACCAATAAGCATCGATCGCCAACAACTCCAACCAAGAGCGAGGAATTAACAAGGGCCGGATTTCCACCCACCGCCCCCGCCGCCGTAGTTACAAAAGGTTAGCATAGCATAGCATAGCATAGCATAGCTATAGAGCATGTTGGAAAGAGATCCAGGTCTTGGATTCTCGCCGAGCAACGCTTGGTGGAAACGACATTCATTTTTGCTGCAGCGGGGAAGAACCGTTGTCGTTGCTGTTTCCTTCACATTAAAAACCGTTCCGTTCTCTCCGCCCAGTACCTTCTTCTGTCCGTACTAGTCCAACACTTGACGCGGTCGATTCCCTCACGTGGTCGCAGGCTAACTTACCCAAAAAAGGTACAAGCCGGACTGTGAGCGGGTCAATTTCCTGAATGATGGCGATGGTTGCTCTGTCCCCGCGAGAGAGACAGCACGACACAAGTACCAAATTCATATGTATGTACCCCCTCTTCTTCCTCTGCAATCAAACGACCACAGGTCACAGGTACGCGTGCACTCAATCAAGTGTTTTTCACCATTCATTGTTTATTATCGCGGACGACTTGGTCGCGCTCGCTCTCGCTCCCATTGGCTCACGGATGGCCCTGGCTATCCTTTTGACCGTTCATCATTCTGCGATTGGTTGCACGATCACCCTTCCTTCTGGCAACACCCGAGAGCACAGATGATCTTTGTTGCGACCTCCAAGAAGAAAATAAAGAATACAAATAAAAGATTCGGTTTTACTGTATCTATTTAGCAAAAACAGACGACGCAAGAAACGAAAAAGAGAGAGGGAGCCCCTCCAATCGAAGCAAACTCCTGGTGCCGCGGATGCTTCTGCCGCCACGAAGAGCAACGATTGATTCTTGACGTCGACTGCAATAAGCCGGGAATACGTATGTACGAGCACACATCTGATCCACGGCAGCTAACCCCCCCCCCCCCCCCCCCGCAAAACCCCCCCCTCTCCAAGAAGCCTGGTCAAAGGGCTAAACCCTCAAG